TATGTTATGGTGTGGTGCAGTGTGGTGTGGTGTGGTATGGTGAATGGTATGGTATGGTATGGTATGGCATGGTGTGGTGGTGTGTGGTGTGGTGTGGTGTGGTGGTGTGTGGTGTGGTGGGTTTGGTATGGTATGGGATGATATGGTGAATGGTATGTTATGGTGTGGTGCAGTGTGGTGTGGTGTGGTATGGTGAATGGTATGGTATGGTATGGTATGGCATGGTGTGGTGGTGTGTGGTGTGGTGTGGTGTGGTGGTGTGTGGTGTGGTGGGTTTGGTATGGTATGGGATGATATGGTGAATGGTATGTTATGGTGTGGTGCAGTGTGGTGTGGTGTGGTATGGTGAATGGTATGGTATGGTATGGTATGGTGTAGTGTATGGTGAATGATATGGTGTGGTGTATGGTGTGGTGTGGTGTGGTGTGGTATGGTGAATGGTATGGTATGGTGTGGTGTATGGTGTGGTGTGGTGTGGTATGGTGAATGGTATAGTATGGTATATGATAATGTGTGGTGTGGTATGGCGAATGGTATGGTATATGATATTGTGTGGTGTGGTGTGGTATGGTATGGTATATGGTATTGTGTGGTGTGGTATGGTATAGTATGGTGTGTGGTATATGGTATTGTGTGGTGTGGTATGGTATAGTATGGTGTGTGGTATATGGTATGGTATGGTATATGATATTGTGTGGTGTGGTGTGGTATGGCATGGTATATGGTATTGTGTGGTGTGGTATGGTATGGTATGGTGTGTGGTATATGGTATGGTATGGTATATGGTATTGTGTGGTGTGGTATGGTATGGTATGGTGTGTGGTATATGGTATGGTATGGTATATGGTATTGTGTGGTGTGGTATGGTATAGTATGGTGTGTGGTATATGGTATGGTATGGTGTATGATATTGTGTGGTGTGGTATGGTATAGTATGGTGTGTGGTATATGGTATTGTGTGGTATATGGTATGGTATAGTATGGTGTGTGGTATATGGTATGGTATGGTGTATGATATTGTGTGATGTGGTATGGTATAGTATGGTGTGTGATATATGGTATTGTGTGGTGTGGTATGATATAGTATGGTGTGTGGTATATGGTATTGTGTGGTGTGGTATGGTATAGTATGGTGTGTGGTATATGGTAT